CCTTCACATGCAAGAACAGTCTGCAGGCCCCACCATGCGTATGAAGCTTGCCAAAGTGCCCAAGTCGCCTCACAAGTGAAGAATAAATGAGTAGCAGATTCAGTATGTTTTCCACAAAATATGCATAAAAAATCATCCTCGGTTCCAACTATTCCTCTTTTTAACAAATTATCACCTGTGGGAATTCTATTTTGCAAAGCTTTCCACACAAATGCTGAAACTTTAAGTGGCACCTTTTTATTCCATAACATGTTGAATTGGTTTGTTGTTGGTTCTGTATTGTTGCTGTTCAGTATGTTGTATGCAAATTTTGTGGAGTAGGTTCCTTCCGGGTTATGCCTCCACCTCCAGGAATCTTGCTTTCCTTTTGCCAGCTTACTCCCTTGTAGCAACTCTTTTAGATCCTGCAAAGAAGTATGTTCACGTCCTAGCAGCTCCCTACGCCAACACCATTTCCAATTCCATTCTCCGTCCCTCCATTCTCCCATATTTTTAACCAACACATCCTTATTTTCTGCCAACCTAAATAACCTATTAAACTTTTCCTTAAAGGACATATCCCCACACCATTTTTCATGCCAGAACAGAGTATCATTCCCTTCCCCCATGGTCTTCACCATACCTTTACTAACCCATCCTTCCTTAGTTCCGAGGTCTTTATCTAAATTCCAAAGTGCCTTCCACCAAGATGAGCAATTAGATTTCACCTCCTTCCCCTCCCAATCCCTTCTCCTATGAACCCCATATTTTGCCTCAACCACCTTATTCCATAATGCATCTTTTTCTACACTAAATTAGTTTAATAATGTTAAACTCCAGCTTGCAACATAATTAATGTAATAACAAATCAACAAATGTGATCTGTATGTCAAGTGAAAAAATCTCAAATTAAATATAAAAATAAGAAGTTTATGAATTAAATATAAAGAAAATCACTCTATTTATTATCAATTAGTTTTAGGTTGGAAGTAAATCTTGTGTTGAATCCACATGCATCATTTTTACATGGTATCAAAATTTAGGTTCTGTCTTAAGAAACCCGTTGTTAACTCATCTGACAAGACCTGAAGTTAAAAGTACCGGACTTACATTTAAAGGGTGTTAAACTACGTGATAGAACTCAACATTTATAGCAGATCTATACATGAGGGGGAGTATTAAGTAAAAAAATCTCTTATCAAGACTTATGGGTTAAATAAAAGGAAAATCATGTAAGTATTGATCCCATATGTACTATTTTCACACTTTATTTATAATTAAAAAAAAAATATTTTTAGTTGTATAATGAAAAATACTATTTTTAACATTTAATTCACTTTTATCTGTATGTTGTATTTTTCAAAATTTAACATTCTTTAGTTTTAATAGAAAATTATTATTGTTAAGTTATTTAGGTATTAGTCAATTGAAAACATTAATCTATTACATTTTAGTCTTTAATTTATTGCAGGTGGGGGCGCCCAGCCACTTACTAATTTGTCAATAAAGTGTTGGTCCCATTGTATGGAAGAATTTTTTTATAAAGAGCACAAAGTAGATGCTAGTCTAG